TGCAAACGTTTCTCTTCCGCTGAGCGACCGGCGCCGACAGCAGGAGGCAGGCTACCGGTCCTTGCAACATAGCTTTGCAGCTCAGCACGCAATGCACGGGTATCGTCCAGATCATCCAGCCCATCCAATGAAAGACCTTCCAACTCCTTGCAACCAGCGTCGTAGTGTTTCAGAACCCAAGCAACACAAGCCGCTCTGAACTCTTGCACTGCCGATCCACTGTATCTCTGCACGGCATCTTCTTGCAGTGCAACACATTGATGAAAGAGCTCGACCATTGACACTTCATCCAAAAAAGTCGCCAACCCGCTCTGCATTGCAACATTCCAAGCTTCTCCATTGGCAGTGAAAATGTCACCAAATTGACTCATCAGGTCAGGACTGACTGCTGATGGACATGCAACCACTCGATGCCAGCGCCGAGCAAGAACATCCTCAGCTCGCTTCTTGTCACTATCGACCACTTGCCGCCTCGGCAACCGCTTGGCCGTTGCAAAAAATTCTGAAACAGCCATGCACACCGCCAAGTGAGTATCGTCTGCTTCTCTGTCAGTTGCAGCAAAAATGCGACTGTATGCATCCAACAATGCATCGGAAAGTGATGCTTTCTGCGTCAGCAACCGATCCCAGCGCCGCGCCAGTGCATCTTCTTGTCGCAGCTCCTCTGACACACCATTTTGCCGCGTCGGCAACCGCTGAGCTGTTTCATAGAAATCCGAGACTGCCATGCACACCGCCAAGTGGGTATCGTCTGCTTCTCTGTCAGTTGCAGCAAAAATGCGACTGTATGCATCCAACAATGTGTCGGAAAGTGATGCTTTCTGCGTCAGCAACCGATCCCAGCGCTGCGCCAGTGCATCTTCTCGTCGCAGCTCCTCTGTCACACCATTTTGCCGCCGCGGCAACCGCTGAGCTGTTTCATAGAAATCCGAGACTGCCATGCACACCGCCAAGTGAGTATCGTCTGCTTCTCTGTCAGTTGCAGCAAAAATGCGACTGTATGCGTCCAACAATGCGTCGGAAAGTGATGCTTTCTGCGTCAGCAACCGATCCCAGCGCTGCGCCAGCTTATCCTCTGCTCTCTGCTCATCTGTCTGCACATTCTGCCTGCGAGGAATGCGGCCATGCAAATCATAAAATGTCAAAACATCATCGCAAACATCTCGGCGCCAATCATGCTTCAACAGATGCAGGAGTTTCAGTTTCTTCAATTTCCAATACAAGGAGCGACTGCTACTCAGATCAGCATGCTGCGATGGCATCTCCCCATGCTCTGCAACAAATTGCTCTAGCTCAGCACGAACGATGTCCGCCTTCTCGGCATCCGATTTTTTCTTTGGCGGAAAGAGTGGATAATAATACGATAACCCCAAGAGCAACAACCACACAGGACACCGCCACGACACGGTCCAACCAATCTTTGACAAAATTCCGTTGCAAACCATCATGACCAACATGAATGTGTATCTTTGACACGTCCAGTCGCTCTCTGCATGCAAGCCCAAAAGTCGTGCAAAAACAATCGTCAGACCAAATAACACCTCAGGTGCCCAGCAAAAACAGGAACCATCCAAGAGAAGAAACAAAATCGTTTCAGACTTGACATCCCACTGGCACGCTGTAACTACATTAACACTATCCAAGAGAACGAACAAAATCGTTGCAGACTTGACATCCCACTTGCACGCTGTAACTACAGTAACATGTCTATAATCACCACTGTGGCGCTGGTGAAAACGACAACAAACACAGCTTCGATAGACGATCCACTTGCAGCATCTGCATGCGGAGACCAGTATTGATGGAATCAACATGCCCAAAATCACTGCCTTATATAAAGCGAAGGCACTGCAACTTCAACAGGGTTTTCTATTCCCAAGCAGTAGTATGGCGCACGTTGCACGAACTCCAGGAGCAGCACCTCTCGCCGCAGCAAACCATGCAGATGTTTCAGCTGCACACAGCGCAGGAAGCTCGGCAGCAGCACCGCAGCAAGGACGCCGAGGAGCGTAGTTAGCGGCAGCAACAGCGCCAATCAGCAGCCGCAAGCCGCGACAAGCCACAGCGCCGCGGCAGCAACATACCGCGCGGCGCGCCCTCGCAAGCTGTTCTGGCGCGCCAGCTTACGCCATTGCAGAGCAGACCGGCGACCCGGCATCTTTGAAAAAATAAGAAAGCTGAAAACAACTCAACCATGACATCTCACCAACCATTTCACCGTCGCTGTCACACTTCATGCCTGAATCAGCAATGCTTCCACACATGCAACATTTGCTTGGATATCTGCTACAAACATTGCAAAACCTCCGTCTTGCACTATCTCTATAACCCCCCTGTCATGAACTGTGACTGCTCGGTCCCCTCTTGCAATTGAACACAGACAAAATGTTTGCTAACGTCGAACTGAAAACACAAAGACCACAGTGCGCCAAATCTGCCTGAGCCCAAACAACAACTTTCCACTTTCAACACATTCGCAGTCTTGCAATATCTTTACAAACACAACTACCACGCGACAGAACATGAGAACCTACTTGGAAACATTCGAAACATTTTGCAGCTCCCCCCATAGACAGGGCGACACCACAAGAAAACGAGAAACATGAGACGAGACATGCGAGCGCAGTAAAACCTCCAA